GGGGCTGGGGGGTCGGTGGATGTGGGTGGGGGAATACGACACAGCGTACGTCCGTGACACCACCTTCTCAAGTCACCATGTTATGGGAGCTGTGACTTTTACAAGGGTACATAAAGATCATCACTGGTGACCGGGGCTATTACGTTCTCATCCGTTCTGGCTGGTTGCGTGGATCAATGTCAGCAACGATAACCTTGGCACCCTCGACACAAAGCGACCGTAGCACTGCCGCTATCGTAAAACGGAGTTAACGTGTTGCTATCAGTAATTACTCTTCAACTAGGCATCTGTACTGTATTGTAGTATATAAGGGTGTTCTACCACGTTTCCCAGTCTGGGTTTTGGATCTTAAACCAACATGGTCAAGACAATAGGGGGATTAGGGATTAACTGGGGACCGTGTCGGGTAAATGGTCTCATACTATCAGTTGGCTCAGTGGTGTTGTTTTGTTGTTGTTGTAGTTGTTTTACGCCGCATTCCAATATTCCAGCTATATGACGATGGTCTGTAAATAATCGAGTCTGGACTCGTTTTGATAGATGACTACTTCTTTTGAAAATTGCCGAAAAAACGTTTTTTATGAGGTTTACCTTCAGATTAGGATTAATATTTGTTTTGACAAACGATGAAAAATACCATATTTTGGATACCGTCTTTCATGTATTTGACTTCGTCTATGCAAACTTTTGAAATATGTTAGCAGCACTTGAATCATATTCACACTATAAGGTCATTGTTGAATATGATTTTATATATCACAGTAACCTAGCGCTATTAAAATTACTTTCCAATTCGTGATCCGTAACTAAGTGGAATGTCCTAGCTGATTAGGCTAATTCATTAATCATGTTCTTGTTTGTATGTTTGTTTGTTTGTTGTTTAACGCCGCACTCCAATATTCCAGCTATATGACGGCGGTCTGTAAATAATCAAGTCTGGACCAGACAGTCCAGTGATTGACATCATGAGCATCGATCCACGCAATTGGGATACGATGACATGCATCAACCCAATCAGCGAGCCTGTCCACCCGATCCCGTTTGTCGCCTCTTACGGCAGGCATAGTCGCCTTTTATGGCAAGTACATGGGTTGCTTGGCAGAAAAAATTGTCGGTTTTGAGATTTTTATCGGCATACAATTATCTTCTTTTAGTACAGACGATGGGCCCTTATCAGTGGGTGAGTGAATATTGAGTTACGCCGTCAGTAATATACAACTCAAAAGAAGTTAAAGAACACCCGACAATCGTCTATCTGTCATGTCTGGTGGGTCTTCCTGCTGTGGGTGTTCTTTAGCTTGTTTTGAGGAGTATACATCTTGACGGACTGTAAAAAAAAGAATCTGGTCCAGGCGAACCGAATGGAAGCTTGAAGCATGATCCATGCAGTTGTTTGTTTGTTTTGTCTCTTTGTTGTTTAACTCCGCACTCGCAATATTCCAGCTATATGACGGCTGTCTGTAAATAATCGAGTCTGGACCAGACAATCAAGTGATTGACATCATGATCCACGCAATAATTGGTATACGATGACATTTGTCAACTAAGTCAGCTGGCATGACCACCCGATCCCGTTTGTCGCCTCTTACGACAAGCATAGTCGCCTTTTACGACAAGCATAGTTCCTTTTTACGACAAGCATGGGTTGCTGATGAGCTATCCTAGCCCAGATCTTCAAGGGTCTGAAGGCACACGATGTCAGCCCGGGCCCCCATCATTACAACTGAAGTAGACTTTAACGAAAAGTATTAAAATACCTGAAACCTATCCTGCCCGGAATTCTAAACCGTCGGTCAGTATTTCCACGACTCCACAACATACCTTCCCCTGCTGTCCAGCTGACGTCTTGGTGCGTGTGTGTAGGTCCCGCACATGGCTAATCAACATGGCCGATCAACGTCGTTATTACCAGAAACATATGAAGTGGTTATTACGCAAGGTACGCTCCTCAACAGCACATGCCTCGCAATGGGAACCGGCAACATGGACTGCCATGGTGCTCTAATGTGATCTTCGTGTGTTCGGTCAGGGAGAAAATAGTTTATTATTTTGTGTTGCGTCTGATTTAAGACACATCGTAAAAATCTATGAATAGAAAATTTACGTGATTAAATGTTCACCTGTAAAGGCTGGTCGTGTTAAACTTACTTCTCACAAGTACTTCTGACATGTTTTGCGCTCGTGTTTTATGTTTTGTTAACTTACCGTCCAATATCATTAACTAGCAGATCATGTGATTCTACTATTCTTGACAAAACAAATACGGTTTTAGTAAAATATCTTTAAGTTTTATTTAAGAAGCTGGAGTCTCATTTAACGGCATTGAAAGAATAAAGAAGCTTAAACCCACATCAATTCTACCTCCATTTGTTTTAAGGAAATCAGTCAAAGTATGTTTTCGAATGACTTTAACGAGGGCATAGCATGAAAGGAAATATTCCGTCTAAATACTCATTCATGGATACGCGTCTGTGAGGCTACATACATGTGTGTGCACACGGAATTCCCTCAGAACAGCAGTGTTTTCGTTCCACCCAAAGCCCGGCACACACGCCGCACTGACATATACGAGGGGCGTTCAATAAGTTTTGCATCTTCAATATAAGACCAAGTCGCAGAATATCTTTTGCACTTTTATTTTTCAATATAATTTCCATTCACCTCAATACACTTATTCCATTTGTCCTTCAAGCTTTTATTACTACTTTTATATAAATCCGCTGATTAGCCCTCTAACCACGCCTCTGTGGCAGCCTTTATGTCCTCGTCATCCTGGAAGCGTCTTCCACATAGGGCAGATTTCATTTGCCGGAACAGGAAATAGCCACTGGGGGCTAAGTCTGAGCTGTAGGGTGGGTGATTTAACTGTTCGAATCCACATTCACGTATGGCGGCCTGTTCAATTCTCGACTTGTGAACCGGAGCGTTGTCATGCAAAAGTAGAATACCACGTGTTAACATCCCACGGCGTTTCTGGCGAATAGATTTTCGCAATTCTTTCATTACATTAGCATAATATTGTCCATTGATTGTAGTTTTGGGTGGCATGTAATCAATCAGTAATATGCCTCTTGCATCCCAAAATATGGTGGCCATTACCTTGCCAGCCGATGGTTAAGTGCAAAACTTCCTCGGAGGTGGAGAATTGGGGTGCTTCCAGTGGTGGGTCCCAGTGGTGGATCCATGTTTCATCACCTGTCACTAGACGAGAAAGAAATCCAGCTTCATCAGCAGTATAGAGATCTAGGAGGTCTCGACAACTTTAGTTCTCTGATATCGATCTTAAGCTCTGAGGTTTCTAGGTACCCATCTTGCAGATATCTTGGACATACCAAGATGCTCATGAATAATGGTTCCAACAGTTCCAACTGATATTTGGAATTCACTAGAATGTTCAGATACTTTCACTCGTTGGTCAGACAAAATTCTTCTTTCTATAACAGCAATGGTTTCGGGTTGGGTGGCATCTGAAGGCCTGCCCGACCTTGGGTCATCGTCTATGGACTCCCTACCCCTTTTAAGCTGTAGAGACCAACGGAAAATGTGGAATAGTCAGGAGCATCCTTACCCATCACTTTACACATGCGATCATGGATTTCTTTTGCTTTGCATCCCTCCTTGGTCCCTCCTTCATTACAGCGCGTTGTTCATGTTTGAGAGAATCCATGATTGTGACCACCCTTTGGTGAATGAAGCCATCACATCTACTTTATTGTTGTGTCTGGAACTTGTTATGACACGTATCAACCTGATGTTATGACTAGTGTCACACCTGCCAGATGTTGAATTTGTTGCGTAAATACAAATGCCCAAGGTGCAAAACTTATTGAACGCCCCTCGTATATATGGAATACTGTGAGGGACATTCTCGCGATCTCGACCTTTGGAAACGAACTAAATATGCTGAAGAATTCGAGATTGCTTAGTTGATAAACTGCATACGGAACATTGCTTAGTTGAGAAACTGCATGGTAGAGCTTTGCTCAGTTGATATGCTGCACATGGAGCATTGCCCAGTAGATACGCTGCATATGGAGCATTGCCCAGTAGATACGCTGCATATGGAGCATTGCCCAGTAGATAAGCTGCATATGGACCATTGCCCAGTAGATACGCGGCACATGGAGCATTGCCCAGTAGATACGCTGCATATGGAGCATTGTCCAGTAGATACGCAGCACATGAAGCATTGCCCAGTAGATACGCTGCATTTGGAGCATTGTCCAGTAGATACGCTGCACATGAAGCATTGCCCAGTAGATACGCAGCACATGAAGCATTGCCCAGTAGATACGCTGCACATGGAGCATTGCCTAGTAGATACGCTGCACATGGAGCATTGCCTAGTAGATACGCTGCACATGGAGCATTGCTTAGTAGATACGCTGCACATGGAGCATTGCCTGGTAGATACGCTGCACATGGAGCATTGCTTAGTAGATACGCTGCACATGGAGCATTGCCTGGTAGATACGCTGCACATGGAGCATTGCCCAGTAGATACGCTGCACATGGAGCATTGCCTGGTAGATACGCTGCACATGGAGCATTGCTTAGTGAATAAGGTACACATGGAGCATTGCTTAGTGAATAAGGTACACATGGAGCATTGCTTAGTGAATAAGGTACACATGGAGCATTGCTTAGTGAATAAGGTACACATGGAGCATTGCTTAGTGAATGAGGTACACATGGAGCATTGCTTAGTGAATAAGGTACACATGGAGCATTGCTTAGTGAATAAGGTACACATTGTGCCATTTCTAAGCAAATATTCTGTGTGGGTTATTGCTTTATAAATATGATGCACACGGAGAATTGCTTAGTAGATAAGCTACATGTTGAGTATTGCTTCATAGACAAGCTACATGTGGCAAGAGGATCAGCTGCTATTGTCCATGTGATGTGTATGATGGTAGATGATCTACTGGAGTAGTTTGTGCAAGTTTTCCCGACAAGCAGGACTGACCTCTTCCAGGAATAAACAACAGGAGAACGAGAACCTGGAGGGAGAGTTTATTTGCAAACACAGTGGCAGGTGAAAAGTTGGGGGCCATGTTGAAAACGCTACATTGGTGGCGGGTGCTTACATCAGAGAGGAAAACATGGGGAGCAACAGAAATGTACACAGGTGCCCACAGGTGTGCTGTACAGTTACTCATGTACACATGTACAGACACCTTTATTGTACTTTGTAGAGGTCGTAGTGGAGCTGGGCCTTGTCCCGTACAGTGGTGTTGGATACACTGTATACAGTGCCTAAGGATCAATATGGTCATGTACAGATGTACTGTTGAGCTCAAAGCCTGTATGAGTGAGTTTGGTTTTTCGCCACTTTTAGCAATATTCCAGCAATATCATGGCGGGAGGACACCAGAAATGGGCTTCACACATTGTACCCATGTCGGGATCCGAACCCGGGTCTTCAGCGTGACGAGTGAACGCTTTAACCACAAGGCTACCCGACCACCCCAAGTCCTATAAGAACATTTACAAGTATGCACATATGAGACATGTACAGTACCAAGCATGTACTCCTAGCAGGTATCCACACACATCCTGGTGTGTGGACTCATACGGAATAGCATTGCAGATACTGTTGTGGTTATTGTTCTAAAGTTGTCTTACATCTAGCCTGTATATGCAGAACCCGGAGTGAGTGAGTATTGTTTTACGCCGCTTTTAGCAATATTGCAGCAACATCACGGCAGGGGACACCAGAAATGGGCTTCACATATTGTACCCATGTGGGGAATCGAACCCGGGTCTTCGGCATGACAAGTGAAAACTTCAACCACTAGGCTTCCCCACCACCCCACAGAAACTGTACAGGGGGGTAGGTATCCCAAGTGATGTACAAAGATCCAGAGAGTACACTGTACAAGGCAAACAGGTTAAACATTTTAATGATTTATTTGTATTGAGAAACGGAAACTGAAGTAGTAAAACCATTTTGTTCAACATGGTACAGTAAAAAACAGAAAACATCTCTCACTTTCTGTTAGACAGTGCGCAGAACCCGCACAGGAGGCTTGTACAGTGTATACTCCATGTCCAAGGCAACACTTTTTCTAAAAATTGGTTTACGGATCTACCAAGATTAACCGAAAAATGGAAAAAATATATCTGAAAAGCCCTTTTTCATACATCCGCCAGAGCAAAAGTATGTGTTTATACCTAAAATGTTCCAAACTAAAATAACAAATAAACCAAGTGGTCAATGATAAAATATTTGTAAACATCATTTAAAGAACATTTTGTTGAAAAGAAACAGTTCTGAAATATATTCCGTTGTTTTTATACCCACCAACCAGGACTTTTCACATGAAAATCTGTAAACCAAGAGATATAAAAAGTTTGGCCTAAGATTGAGTGTGCCATGATCCAACTATGTATAACAGACCTACAGCGGGTGGGGGCCTTGTGCCAGCACAATAAAACTCTCAATGATGAAAAAATACATGTGCCAAGTGGCACAATATGTGCCATGTGGCACAATATCAAGTAGAACAATGATACATGTTACCACAACACATGGTGAAGGTTGTGTGAGGGTGGAGTCTAGGAAGGCTAGTCAGTTGGTTAATCTAATCACAATGCTGGGAAATAAAAGCTGTCCTGACAATGGTCAATCAGGAACAAGAAGATTTGTCTGCACAAATGTACATAGCCCGTTCCTGAATTGTGTACATGTTAATGTATTTTATCCATGAAATTAAATCAACTGACACAGGCATTTTCGGTTTACCTGTGCATGCAACATTTGTTTCTAGAATACAAATGAATAAATATATTGTGAATTTTGCTACATTCAAATGAATACTGAGCTAAACAATATATGTATTCTTGGCCTGTGTTGAAATAGGGAGCTGTATGTCTGGGCCCAAGTTTGTGTGAGTGAAGTGTATGTCTGATAGATGTTATGATGTGGGTGAGTCAGTGTCTGAAGAGTGTAAGGTTGTGGTGGGTGACTGTCTGTATTTGTTATGAGAGCATGCCTGTGGGTGGCCGAATGTCTGATTGGTGCTAAAATGTGGATGGGTGAGTTTCTGAATGGTGCAAGGCTGTGGATTGGTGAGTTTCTGAACAGTGCAAGGGCTGTTGATGGGTGAGTTTCTGAATGGTGCAAGGGCTGTGGATTGGTGAGTTTCTGAAGGGTGCAAGGTTTGGGTGGATCAATGTCTGTATGTTTGATGGGTGCTTTGATGTGGATGGGCGAGTGTTTGATGGGGTGCAATGTCTGACTATGTGTTTGGCTGTGGGTGGGTGATTATCAGACTATGTAGGATGTTAGCCAATGTGTGTAAATAGGTAGATTTGATATGAACCATCTGGGGATTTAACCCTCAACCTTCCTCTAACCGGGTAGATGCTGTATCCACTAGACCACAGAGGCAGTGTATGTTTTCTTGGTGGAAAAGTATGTTTTGGGTGGTAACTGTATGTTTTTTGGTGGTAACTGTATGTTCTGGGTGGTACCTGTATGTTTTGGGTGGTAACTGTATGTTCTGGGTGGTACCTGTATGTTCTAGGTGGTACCTGTATGTTCTGGGTGGTACCTGTATGTTCTGGGTGGTATCTGTATGTTCTGGGTGGTATCTGTATGTTCGGGGTGGTACCTGTATGTTCTGGGTGGTAACTGTATATTCTGGGTGGTACCTGTATGTTCTGGGTGGTACCTGTATGTTCCGGGTGGTACCTGTATGTTCTGGGTGGTACCTGTATGTTCTGGGTGGTACCTGTATGTTCTGGGTGTTAACTGTGTTTCTGGGTGGTACCTGTGACTGTGGGTGGTACCTGTATGTGTGTTTGGTGCAAGGCTGTGAATGGTAGACTGTAACAGAACTTATGTAAGAACACCTGAAAACATTAATAACCTCCTCGACAACATCTCTGTCAGATGACAAATGACAAACACACATGTACATGTTTAACATGAGATCAGAAAAATATGAAATAACATCAAATGATCTTGAGATGTATAATACAAATGAAGACTGCAGTCCCATCAAATACACTGAATCATGGTACCGCACATGCTTCAAACTTTGGGCCAGGAATATTTATAGCGAAGATTGTGCAAAGCAAAACTTCATGCAAGATATACAATAAATTTCCATTGCATAAATACAAAATATTAATGAGTTAGTCACAGAGGAATTAGAATCAGCATTATGTTCTGCTTAAAGAGTTACTGAACACTACAATGATGGGCGAGACGCAAGCTACTCCTCTACCGATGAAGGTCTTCAACCTTGCTGGTGGGTAGATACCTTACAAAACAGAGGCAGTATATATGCACAATGATTGGTCCTTGCTCAATTGCATTTGCTTGTAGGCATCCTTTCTTGAGAGCGTGTTTTGTTTATTGTCGTAAAACAGAAGTAAAATTCTTTCAAACAAGGTGCTACAATGCAAGAGTGACAGAGAACCCAGATTTTTGACGTTATTCGGAACATGTCATAATGCGTACTGGTTGCTGCCCTTGTTGCTGCACAGCCACAGATACTTCTTCACACAGGAAACAAGTAACATCATGAAAATGGAAATTAATCTGAATTATTAGAGTCTTTTGTTACGACCGTGAAAAGCACCTCTGTTGAGCTATAGGTATCTACTGACTTTCCGGGAAACTGGGAATCCCTCAAACTGGACCTGTGCAGGGCCTAGTGCCATAAAGCGATCTTAGTGCTAAGATGATCATAACTAGCACAGACTTACAACGATCTTAGCGCTAAGACAATAAGACAATATCATAACTCTCTTACTGTACCATAGACTTACAAGACCTAGTGCTAAGACAATCGTAAATCTCATACTGTACCATAGACTTAAAGACCTTAGCGCTAAGACAATCGTAAATCTCATACTGTACCATAGACTTATAAGACCTTAGCGCTAAGACAATCGTAAATCTCATACTGTACCATAGACTTATAAGACCTTAGCGCTAAAACAATCGTAAATCTCATACTGTACCATAGACTTACAAGACCTTAGCGCTAAGACAATCGTAAATCTCATACTGTACCATAGACTTACAAGACCTTAGCGCTAAGACAATCGTAAATCTCATACTGTACCATAGACTTACAAGACCTTAGCGCTAAGACAATCGTAAATCTCATACTGTACCATAGACTTATAAGACCTTAGCGCTAAAACAATCGTAAATCTCATACTGTACCATAGACTTATAAGACCTTAGCGCTAAAACAATCGTAAATCTCATACTGTACCATAGACTTACAAGACCTTAGCGCTAAGACAATCGTAAATCTCATACTGTACCATAGACTTACAAGACCTTAGCGCTAAGACAATCGTAAATCTCTTACTGTACCATAGACTTACAAGACCTTAGCGCTAAGACAATCGTAAATCTCTTACTGTACCATAGACTTACAAGACCTTAGCGCTAAAACAATCGTAAATCTCTTACTGTACCATAGACTTACAAGACCTTAGCGCTAAAACAATCGTAAATCTCATACTGTACCATAGACTTACGAAAATTGTAGCGCTATGGTCACTTTGTGGAAGGGGGGGTGGCCCAGAGCTTGATCTTCACGACGTATCTTAATGAGGGGTCATTTCAAGCATGAGCATATTGCCGATGCGATGAAACATTTTAACTCACTCACTTAAGCATGAGCAGGAGTGTTTTCCATATCTTTTTTGTTTTTATGCAATTTGAAAAACAGCAAATGATCTTCCTGGTCATGGCTCCAATTAATATCTAATAACAAAACATTCGTGAGATTCCTAGAAACGAAGGACATGGACTTTTGGGATGACCCCTGACTGAGTCCATGGTGATTAGTCTCAGGCTGTGCTTACATCACCGCTTCCACCAAAACGCACATTTTTACATGACCTAGATGGCTTGCGCCTAGATGAGATATATTTACAGATCTACAGGTGATAATGTACATCACTGCACCACAAGAGTTATCTCCCTTTATAACACATACCAAGGATCACTTCAATGTGGAGATGTCCCATGTGCAATAGTATTGAATTTTTGCTGCAAATACCTACACTAGTTTCATAGACAGCATGAATAGAAACAGTGCAAATACAACCATGGAAATTATTTACCTAGCATGAGAAAGAAGGTCAGGCTGTGATCGTTATCAAGGGGTAATAACTCCACATGTTTTCTCCCATCCAGCTCAGATCTACATGGACTATGAATCGTGAAAAACACTGCCTTTATGTCTTTGTACATAATAAGAAAAATAGCTCAAATCAATCTTCATTTCTGCAAACTTTAACAACATGTTGTCTTGGAAACGCCTTACAATTCACTTTCCTCAGAGGAGCTCGGTGTGTGCAACAAATCCAGAGTGAAGACCTGCACTTAGTTTGTATTAGAAATCAACTCTGACTATCTAGTAGCTATCTAGTCAATAAATCAACTCTGACTGTCTTGTAGCTATCTAGTCAATAATTACAGGCATGCACGCACGTCTATGTTTACAGTTTAAGACCTCATAGTGCTACCATGTGTTCCTTGAGAAAGGTACCTCAATGAAATGATATAAAAACTGATACCTTAAATCACTTAAGATCCTGAAAAATGTTACCTATAATCAGGTCAAAATGACACAGACAGGTGGAAAACAACATCCAATACGATACAGCTGTGATGTTGCTGCACACAGAGCTCCTTCCTTCCTTCAACAGTGTACAATCAACACTTCTCATCATCTTCACCACAAAATAAGTAGGTTAACAATGCAAAAGAAAATAATATGATGGGATATTTCTGAAGACTTCAAGATGGAAAATGACATGTTAATATAAACATTTAACAATACTGAATTTGAAAAAAGAAATGAAAATGAGAATTACTCGTATTAAAGGTAATGATCAAAGTAAACAATAACGGAAGCAATGCCGTCCTAGAGGTTTGACGTGTTTCCAATGCTCCCTGCATGTTATACATACTGTACTGTCTGAGCAGTCCTTCATTAGGTATATGCTGATGACGAGGATGAGGACGAGGAATCCAAGGTTTCAAGAAGATTGGACCGCAGACCAGTGTATTGGCAAGACAATATATAAATCACACGTCCAGTCAGGAAAAGACTACTGTTACACACTCAAGACAGACCAACAGCAAAAAATATAATACCCTAGGCCGGACCCTTCCTATTCTTGTGTTATAGATGAGCCTGGGTTGTTTGCAAACATAAAATGTAAAAAAAACCTATATTTTAAATGTTATTTTGAACCTTTTGTGTTTGTATACTTGTTAGAGTTTATTGTAGAAACTAACCTCAAATCAACCCTGACCACATCATATTCTTTATCTGGACACTTGGCATTTTGACCCAGAAATTGTTTAACACAAGAAACAGAATTGATCTGGCAAAACAGAAGAGCAAAGACATTCATAATGTGAACATCCAAATGAATTATTTTAAATTCTTATATCCGATCCTGGTCTAGATAGTCTTATACATTATTTGCCCTTGGCCAAACAGAACGCCATCACCTGCAGGTGCTTATACAGAACGGTTCCGTGCTTTAAGTTGACATAGATATTGGTGATACACTACAATGAATAAAGGCTTGCTTACTATGATACGGTAATCAATGCTTTGTTAGTAATTTCAGTGAGATGGACTAGACTCATTCTGCTGCGTATTTACTTCATCGGGGTTGATGGAGAAGATAATACACTCAGGGACTATTATAAAAAAGCTCAGACGACACAGTCAATATTCTTAAAAGTCCCTTTATACTCATCCTCTGATATATATATATATATATTTATATTGCAGAATATAAACATCTCATGAATATCAACTTCATATATTATCAATTATAAATAATTGTAATTATTTGCTGTACAAACACATCTCAGAATGTTAAGTATGGAAATGATTTCCTCACAACAAATTCAACTCAACCACAGAAAAACAGCATTCAATTTCAAATCAGAAGCCAAATCAACATGTTTAGATGAAGTTTCCCTATATTCACATACATACAAATCTCTAACAACAGACATGTGGAAAATAGTATGCAGTAGGAACACCACTGAGACCATCTTTCTCCCGAGTTATAATGGGGTGTGTGGAATACAGTATCAGTTCATTCTTCACAGCGATTGGCTGTCCTTGTACAGTGAATATATACAGCATTGGAGCCTGAACAAAACAGTAACACAATGTGGTCGCCATTATGCCTGCCATTGCCTGGACCGAGATACCTTCTTGAGTCAAAGGGCTCCTCAGGAGGCAATAGAAGAGGAGGCAACCCCCGAATATGGTGATAGATCTACATAGAAAAGAACCGATAACGTCCCACTCAACTCTGAGAGTGAGTATCACATTGAAGCAGACGCACAATTGAAGGATCACTTTTGGCACCTTCAATAAATTCTGCCAATGACAACTTCCCATCCAGGTTTTTATCCATTTGTCGGAAGATTTTGTCGGTACGTTTCTCTGGTGTTGATTCATCCTCAGGCATTTTCATTACTGTGCCAACCATCTTGTAAATTGCCTGAAACACAACATTGAGACTATTAATCCTGCATCCAGGTAGCCTTGGGATGACCTGGCCATTAGATTACAAATTTATCAAAGTATTATCAGTTAATCGATTTCAGGTGGACTATGAGAGTGCAAAGAGATTACAGAACAAACAGATTGGTTCCAAGACAAATCATGTGGACATTATTATGATCAAATGACAAATTCTTCAGATTTCAAAATTTGATAATCAAAAGGAAAAACATTTTAAGAAGAAATCAATTCCTAAACATTGCGTTTGATGTCTTTCAGACATCAAATCTACACTTGATCGTCAATGTGTGATCCTGATGCGATAATTCCATCACAAGATGAAGGGACAAAGCACCAGTGCAGCGCACCAGGCCCACCCACACATACTTAACCGAAGCTCTTTCCTCACAACTAGTGGATGAGGCTAGAGCATTAGCAGAACATCTCATGCACTGGCGTAATCTATCATCTGCATTATGTCAGAGAGATTCGAGGGGCATATCACAGTCTGGCGACAAAGGAGCGTCCCCTTATATTGCTGACATACATTCTTATACCAAGTTTTATGACCAGGTACATAACGACAGATATACTTCAAAGACAAACACACAACAAGGAACTTTCCAAGGCCATATTGATTGCATGGAAGGTATCATCAGAGGGCCATTATGAGAATGTAGGCTAATGACAGGTTGATGAACAGTACGTACAGCATGGATGGTTCAAGGATCATGCAATGTTTGCTGTTGCTGATTGGCTGAGGAATGGTTCTCTCCAATATGAAGAATTTACATGAAAGAGGTAACTTGGCTGTAATGTATTATTTTGCCCATTAGGTGTACACCTGCACTATCATGAACTCACATTAAATTTTCACTGATCGAAAAATATAACACAAGGTGTAATGATGTATGCATCTCCATTTTGTTCTTGAATTAGGGTATTGACAAAAGCAATCGTCATTACCGTGGATGATGGATGAGAAGGGCGGGAAAACAACAACAGATCAGACGTTCCCCTGATGTCTTTAATCATTTGGAAAATACATCTTACACAACCCTGAGTATGTCAAATATTTGAAGCAAATTTGTTCAGCTTGTTTTTACCCCAAGATGCACTTGTGCAATGTGTTTGACCTTGACCTTCCTATTGCACACAGTCTAATTGAATGTAGATTCTTGACTAAATTTAGCTTGCTTCAGCATAGACATAACAGCTGACATCCCCCATATACATCCCCGCACACAGTGGTGGATGTCGGGGCTCCTCCGTGGAAGTGGAGTCCTTGCCGAGCTACACCGTTTAGTGAAGCTTATTATGCCAACACGGTAAACTAGGGAGGAGGCATGTTGATAGAATACATTCAAGACTGATGATGAGCATGGCTTAGTTTGGTATTGGTGACTGGAATTTTCAAGAGCTGAGATGCTATAGTGTAATTACTGTGTAATTTTCTAAACCACTGTCAGCTCTATGTTGACAGCCATCTTGGACTTTCTTATACAGCTATGTACAAAATCTTCAGGAAGGAAAACAGGCTGCTTATTATTTTGGAATAACAACAGATCGACCATATTGTGGTGTCTTGTTGTAAAGCTGATTCCATCCAATCAAAATGATTAGATATAAATGTACTATCTGGATAGGGTCGGATGTACCGGGGTCGGATGTACCGGGGTCGGATGTACCAGGGTTGTGTGTATCAGGGTCGGATGTACCAGGGTTGTGTGTATTGGGGTCGGATGTACCGGGGTTGTGTGTATCGGGGTCGGATGTACCAGGGTCGGATGTACTGGGCTTGTGTGTACCAGGGTCTGATGTACCGGGGTTGTGTGTACGAGGGTCGGACATACCGGGGTTGTGTGTACGAGGGTTGTGTGTATCAGGGTCGGATGTACCAGGGTTGTGTGTATCAGGGTCGGATGTACCGGGGTTGAATGTATCAGGGTTTGTACTCCAATCATCAAGAGTTGTCCCCCCTGTTTGATGAACTGAATTTAAATCTTAAGTCACTATAAGTTTGTAAATGAGAATACAATTAATTGTGTGAATTGTGATTAATTGTTAAACAATGAGTGCAACTGTATTACATTGTTTCTGTTGAGATTCAGTGGAAGTGCATTGCATTGTACTTGGAAAATGACTAGTTGTCAGGAATGTATCACTATTTAATGAAAGGAAGTTATAATATTTAGACGCTTGAATTATCTGTAAAATTCTGGAATAGCATGGATGGAAATCAAGCGTTATAGAAACAGTGGAATAATCTGTGATGTTCTAGTGACACTGGACTGGTCTAGCACTGTGTGGAAAGTGCTGGATGCTAGTTGACCATATAAGTGGAGCAAATTGCATCTGACATTACATCAAGACCAGCTTTCGTGTGAAGATCATTTTTTACCCTGGTGTTCAGCCAAGGCCTATCTTGGAAGCTTGACCACTGTTGTGGACAGCTGAATATTATTCTTGTCATCATCTACACTGCTTTCAAACTTTATACTGCCACTGAATATTATACTATCACTCTATTGCATACTGACATTGCAAATCCTGTGCAGTAATTTATACTGATTTGTAAACCCAGTTTTGTAAAACAATTGTTGATTGTAAACCATTTGTTGATTTCACACTAAATTGTTTCACATACAGATTTCTGACTTTACATAATGTTTCATTTTGGGAATTGACACAGAACACAATACATTTTCTTCACTTTTCAGTCTGGTTATGAACTATTACAGTTTCTATTCCTGGTTCAGGTAAACCACATTCATAGAGTCGCTTTCATTCATAGTTAAGTGATATTGCTGAGCCATGCACACCACACAACTTTTGATAGGAACACTGAGATTTACAGTAATCAGTTATATGTTATGGAAAGACAGGGATATCTTTATCAAAAGTTGAGAAGTATATATAATCCATGCAATATACACGCCTCTGGAATCAGGTACAGGAAGTATCGCCATGCGGGAAGTTTCTTGAAATGCATAGTATCAAGAGGCAGCAGCCATGTAGTCAGGTGTGAGGTTCCATGCTGAGATTACCATACAAATGTCAGGATGAGAACTGAAACTTTGGACCAAACCCAACTAAGCCTTGATAGAGATTCCACTGCTAATAGTCTGTGTAAAATGCATGACATGAAATCTTGCAGCTTGAGTTTCTCTATAGTGTGCTCTCCTTGAGTGTCAGTGTATAATGATGGGCAACCGTGCTCTCCTTGAGTGTCAGTGTATAATGATGGGCAACCATGCTCTCCTTGAGTGTCAGTGTATAATGATGGGCAACCCTGCTCTCCTTGAGTGTCAGTGTATAATGATGGGCAACTGTGCTCTCCTTGAGTGTCACTGTATAATGAAGGGCAACCGTGCTCTCCTTGAGTGTCAGTGTATAATGATGGGCAACCCTGCTCTCCTTGAGTGTCAGTGTATAATGATGGGCAACTGTGCTCTCCTTGAGTGTCACTGTATAATGAAGGGCAACCGTGCTCTCCTTGAGTGTCAGTGTATAATGATGGGCAACCCTGCTCTCCTTGAGTGTCAGTGTATAAAGATGGGCAACCATGCTCTCCTTGAGTGTCAGTGTATAATGAAGGGCAACCGTGCTCTCCTTGAGTGTCAGTGTATAATGATGGGCAACCCTGCTCTCCTTGAGTGTCAGTGTATAAAGATGGGCAACCATGCTCTCCTTGAGTGTCAGTGTATAATGATGGACAACCCTGCTCTCCTTGAGTGTCAGTGTATAAAGATGGGCAACCATGCTCTCCTTGAGTGTCAGTGTATAATGATGGACAACCCTGCTCTCCTTGAGTGTCAGTGTATAAAGATGGGCAACCATGCTCTCCTTGAGTGTCAGTGTATAATGATGGACAACCCTGCTCTCCTTGAGTGTCAGTGTATAAAGATGGGCAACCATGCTCTCCTTGAGTGTCAGTGTATAATGATGGACAACCATGCTCTCCTTGAGTGTCAGTGTATAATGATGGGCAACCATGCTCTCCTTGAGTGTTGGTGCATAATGATGGGCAACCATGCCCTCCTTGAGTGTTGGTGTATAATGATGGGCAACCATGCTCTCCTTGAGTGTCAGTGTATAATGATGGGCAACTGTGCTCTCCTTGAGTGTCAGTGTATAATGATGGGCAACCATGCTCTCCTTGAGTGTCAGTGTATAATGATGGGCAACCCTGCTCTCCTTGAGTGTCAGTGTATAATGAAGGGCAATGCAGGTTGTAAAATTCACTCTGGGGGGAAAGATGGAGATCGACTTAAATGATTACAATCTGACCTTTTGTTCATGAAAGAAAGATTTGTTGAATGTCAGACCCTTCTACCTGATGTGTGTTTTCTGGGAACTGGCGAACTTGTTTTTACTTGGTGCATGTTTTGCGTGTTGATCTGAGGTGCTTACAAAGCTGCCATAATCAGATAAGCTCAACACGATACTGCCAGAAGTCTTCAGGCTGCCTCTCCTACTCCATATTGAGGGCATTTACTGCTCATACATGAACTGCTGGGGAACTCGTTAAATAGAAATATACACAGGTGGAAATACAGGTTTCTTTTACTGAAGCATGGGCTTACTGCGATCTCATTTAAGCTCATGTGTGCAGTGCTGTGGGTGTTGGTGTGAGATGTCCTAATGTGGGGGGCTAGAACGATGTGGGTGTTGGGTGCTGGGTGTTGGGTGTGGGATGTCCTAATGTGGGGGGCTAGAACGATGTGGGTGTTGGTTGTGGGGTGTGTTATGTCCTAATGTGGGGGGCTAGAACGACGTGGGTGTTGGGTGCTGGGTGTTGGGTGTGGGATGTAGGGCATGGGGCATGGGGTGTTGGGTGCGAGATATCCCCATCTGGAGGACTAGAACAATATGGGTGTTGGGTGTGGGGTGTGTTATGTCCTAATGTGGGAGACTAGAACGATGTGGGTGTTGGTTGTGGGTTGTGGGTTGTGGGTTGTGGGGTGTTGGGTGTTGGTTGTGGGGTGTGTTATGTCCTAATGTGGGAGACTAGAACGATGTGGGTGTTGGTTGTGGGTTGTGGGGTGTGGGGTGTGGGGTGTGGGGTGTTGGGTGTTGGTTGTGGGGTGTGTTATGTCCTAATGTGGGAGACTAGAACGATGTGGGTGTTGGTTGTGGGGTGATGTTGGGTGTGAGATGTACACATCTGAAGGACTAGAACAATGTGCGTGTGTGGTGTGGGTAGTGGGGTGTGGGTAGTGGGGTGTGGGTAGTGGGGTGCGGGGTGTGGGGTGTTGGGTGTTGGGTGTGGGTAGTGGGGTGTGGAGTGTGGGTTGTGGGTTGTGGGTTGGGGTGTGGGGTGTGGGGCATGGGGTGTTGGGTGCGAGACATCCCCATCTGGAGGACTAGAACAATATGGGTGTTGGGTGTGGGGCTTTGGATGTCCTGATGTGGGGGACCAGAATTATGTGGGTGTTGGTTGTAGGGTGTTGGTTGTAGGGTGTCGGTTGTGGGGTGTTGGTTGTGGGGTGTGTTATGTCCTAATGTGGGAGACTAGAACGATGTGGGTGTTGGTTGTGGGGTGATGTTTGGTTTGATGTTGGGTGTGAGATGTACACATCTGAAGGACTAGAACAATGTGCGTGTGTGGTGTGGGTAGTGGGGTGTGGGGTGTGGGTAGTGGGGTGTGGGTAGTGGGGTGTGGGGTGTGGGGTGTTGGGTGTGTGATGTCCCAATCTGGAGGACTAGCACAATGTGCGTGTGTGGTGTGGGTAGTGGGGTGTGGGTAGTGGGGTGTGGGGTGTGGGGTGTGGGGTGTGGGGTGTGGGGTGTGTGATGTCCCAATCTGGAGGACTAGCACAATGTGCGTGTGTGGTGTGGGTAGTGGGGTGTGGGGTGTGGGGTGTGGGGTTGTGTGGTGTGTGGGTAGTGGGGTGTGGGTAGTGGGGTGTGGGTAGTGGGGTTGTGTGGGGTGTGGGTAGTGGGGTGTGGGTAGTGGGGTGTGGGTAGTGGGGTGTGGGGTGTTGGGTGTGTGATGTCCCAATCTGGAGGACTAGCACAATGTGCGTGTGTGGTGTGGGTAGTGGGGTGTGGGTAGTGGGGTGTGGGGTGTGGGGTGTGGGGTGTGGGGTGTGGGGTGTGTGATGTCCCAATCTGGAGGACTAGCACAATGTGCGTGTGTGGTATGGGTAGTGGGGTGTGGGGTGTGGGGTGTGTGATGTCCCAATCTGGAGGACTAGCACAATGTGCGTGTGTGGTGTGGGTAGTGGGGTGTGGGTAGTGGGGTGTGGGGTTGTGTGGTGTGTGGGTAGTGGGGTGTGGGTAGTGGGGTGTGGGTAGTGGGGTGTGGGTAGTGGGGTTGTGTGGGGTGTGGGGTGTGGGGTGTGTGATGTCCCAATCTGGAGGACTAGAACAATGTGCGTGTGTGGTGTGGGTAGTGTGGTGTGGGTAGTGGGGTGTGGGGTTGTGTGGTGTGTGGGTAGTGGGGTGTGGGTAGTGGGGTGTGGGTAGTGGGGTGTGGGGTGTTGGGTGTGTGATGTCCCAATCTTGAGGACTAGAACAATTTGCGTGTGTGGTGTGGGTAGTGTGGTGTGGGTAGTGTGGTGTGGTGTGGGGTGTGAGGGTGGTCTATTCTATAGAATTAAATGTCCTTTTGTGTGTGAGACATGGGATGTATTGAGCATGGGGTGTTGAGCGTGATAATTTGGGATGCTAATGTTTAAATCTATAGGGTTTTATAATGTTTTGTTAACTTTGGTTTGTGTATTTTTTTACCACCTATGTCTATACACCAAGCACAATCACATTTCAATCAGAAATCTAATGTTGTATGAGTTCATGATTGAAAAGTGTCTGATTTTGTGAATCTCAATAATTTAATGTTCTGTAACAGATTGCCAATCTGCCAATCTCAATACAAGATATCAAAGTCCTTCCATTGCAATGATCCCCAACTGTTCACTTGTCATATAATTGCCTGAGTCAGCCTGACCCACATACTTCAAATGCTCAGGAAAATTAAGTCCTGTGTGGTGTATTGATTTTCATGTGTGAGGTGAACACATGCTGTATTCCTGGAAAGAAAATTTGCATATGAATCCAGTTGATCTACCGAACTATTAACATGTGTCTAATATGATGTGAGTGAGAGAGGGTTTACCCAAGACTGATCTTCACACAGTGTACATGGTGGGAGTCGTCTGTGAGATGAGCCAGTGCTATCTATACCCAGCAAGCTAACCCAACTCCTCAGCATAGTCAAGTGTGTCTGTTTCTTGAGTAATGCCGCACTCAGCAATATTCCAGCTATATGACAGCAGTCGATAAATCAAATCTGGATCAGACAATCCAGTGACCGACATCATGACCATCAATCTACTCAAATGGGATACAATGACTTGCATCAGGAGTCTGAACCCTTGATCCCGGTGATTGCTTCCCACAAGCATTGCTGAAGACCAATTCTTACCCAATCTTTACAGGGGCGTATAGTGTGAAGATCAACGGACAACTTACTTGAACAATCTCCAGCATTTCATTCCTAGAGATGTATCCATTACCATCCAGATCGTACATGCTGAATGCCCACTTCAGCTTCTGGTCCAGCTTCCCTCGTGACGTGACACTGAGTGCACACATGAACTCACGGAAGTCTATTGTACCGTCACTGTTTGTGTCAAATGTGCGAAACACATGCTCAGCAAATTTCGATGCATCTCCATAGGGGAAAAAGTTTCCATATATTTTCTTAAATTCATCTACAGAGAGGTGTCCACTTGGACAGTCTTTGAGGAATCCTTTATACCATTCCTGGAGCTCCTCGTCCGTGAAGCTTGTGTTCTGGCGCAGATCCTCCAGAATCTCTGGCTTCAGTTTACTGTTGCTCTTCCCCATGCTCGCTCTTCCTCTTGCTCTTGCTTGCTTGCTGCTTCCTTTCTCGGCTTTGCTGCTGACAGGCCTTGCTCAAAGCTCAAACTGAAACGAAAATGGTAAAGATGAAGAATTTCAGGCAATCGTAATATCTGTGGTTAAGATACTCACTCACTACTGAATGGTATAGTGTCTATGGTTTTACGCCACTTTAAGCAATATTCCAGCAATATCATGGCTGGCAGGGGAGACCAGAAATAGGCTTCACACATTGTACCCATGTGGGGAATCAAACCCAGGCCTTTGGCATGACGATGAACACTTTAACCACTAGACTACCCTACCACCCCCAATATTATTCAACTATTGACATGGCTATAACAGTTATTTTCCCTGATATACCAAAAGGATTACTTACATGAATAAACAAAAAACATATGTAATAAAATCATGTAAAAAAGGTGATATTCATGACTGTTTACTAATAAAAAACCCATATACATATATGTAGAAAATATGAAATGTCTCAGTATCAATTGCCTTAGGAGATAATATCACAACACGATGTTAAGTACCAGTATTATTGTAGGCACTGTGAAAAAAGTCAATGTCTGGCAGCAATCCAGCAATTGATCATACAGATCTGATTGGTCATAAATTGGATTGAAGCCATAAATCGGACATTCAACTGTGGATGGAAAGACGAGTTACAGGACCACACCAACGACATAGCCAGCATCATAAGTTGTAGTCAACAAGATTTTCCAGTGTTAGAAATTGGCACTTGCCTTGTAGTCCTTTCCAAACTGCCCAATAATTAAGGTATCCTAAGGACTAGTAGAAATTTGCCCTTTTACAGGGTTTTGCTGTATGTTATCATTATATGGACTAGTGGGCTAAAACTGTTGGTTTCTAGCGCTGTTTTCTGGTTACGATATTCACTGATACAGTGTCACACACACAACCACAGAGGACATTGGGGCCAATGTTCTCTTTCCCACTTGTCTGGCTCCAGTTCAATCACCAAACTGCCTTGATCAGACCAGCATATCACACAGCATATCACACAGCATACCACATGCCAAAATAATGTCCTGCAGTTGTAACAGCACTACTCCTAACCCAAGAATGCAAACAAAGTCATATCAGTTGTGTATGGAGTGTGGCCATATTACATCAGACAATAGCCTTGTACTTAAGCCCCTAATCCCGCTGTGCCTAGCTAGGCTGCCATGTGAAGGCATGTGGCGGATCAGCTTGATACGGCTATCAGGAGAATTGTGTCACTAATCATGTTAATCAGGTGATTGATACCGCTGTAGTTGTCCTCCAGACATGGCACTGTCACAGGGAGCTTGAGCATGCTTTGTTGTCAAGGATACTGACTCTTACATAAATAGAGGGGGCAGTAGGGTGGCCAAGTGGTTAAAGCGTCCGTTTGTCACGCCATGGCTCTGTTCTGTTAACTGCATAGTGAGGTAATCTACGTGTGAAAGCGTTTGCTCGTCACGCCATGGTTCTGTTCTGTTAACTGCATAGTGAGGTAAATTACTTGTGAAAGCGTTTGCTCGTCACGCCATTGTTCTGTTAACTGCATAGTGAGGTAATCTACTTGTGAAAGCGTTTGCTCGTCATACCATGGTTCTGTTCTGTTAACTGCATAGTAAGGTAATCTACTTGTGAAAGCGTTTGCTCGTCATACCATGGTTCTGTTCTGTTAACTGCAAAGTGAGGTAATCTACGTGTGAAAGCGTTTGCTCGTCACGCCATGGTTCTGTTCTGTTAACTGCATAGTGAGGTAATCTATTTGTGAAAGCGTTTGCCCGTCACGCCATGGTTCTGTTCTGTTAACTGCATAGTGAGGTAATCTACTTGTGAAAGCGTTTGCTCGTCACACCATGGTTCTGTTAACTGCATAGTGAGGTAATCTACTTGTGAAAGCGTTTGCTCGTCACGCCATGGTTCTGTTCTGTTAACTGCATAGTGAGGTAATCTACTTGTGAAAGCGTTTGCTCGTCACGCCATGGTTCTGTTCTGTTAACTGCATAGTGAGGTAATCTACTTGTGAAAGCGTTTGCTCGTCACGCCATGGTTCTGTTCTGTTAACTGCATAGTGAAGTAATCTACCTGTGAAAGCGTTTGCTCGTCACGCCATGGTTCTGTTCTGTTAACTGCATAGTGAGGTAATCTACCTGTGAAAGCGTTTGCTCGTCACGCCATGGTTCTGTTAACTGCATAGTGAGGTAATCTACTTGTGAAAGCGTTTGCTCGTCACGCCATGGTTCTGTTAACTGCATAGTGAGGTAATCTACTTGTGAAAGCGTTTGCTCGTCACGCCATAGTTCTGTTCTCTTAACTGCATAGTGAGGTAATCTACTTGTGAAAGCGTTTGCTCGTCATGCCATGATTCTGTTCTGTTAACTGCATAGTGAGGTAATCTATTTGTGAAAGCGTTTGCTCGTCACGCCACGGTTCTGTTCAGTTAACTGCATAGTGAGGTAATCTACTTGTGAAAGCGTTTGTTCGTCACGCCATGGTCCAGTTCTGTTACGTTTGCATCCCCTGACTGCTCAGGCATGTGACTGAGGCATGGAATCAAACAAGTGTGACTGAACCTGCCTTAACAGAACTGACTCAACGGTTCAATAAAACTTTTAGCAATTAACGTTTGATTGCAAAAAATGGGTTTCAGACATTGTTCCCATATGAGGAGCCAAACCAAGGCATTGGAGTGACAAGCGAACACTTTACCAGATGGGCTGCCCTACCAACCAGTTGACAGAACAAAACAATGGCGACTTGCTGACATCTACAGGACGCAGTGTGACTGAACCTGTGTTGACACAGCATAGCATAAACATTAATACCGGAGTTTATTAAAAATCAGTCAAAGCAGACACAGTAAAATAAATGTCTGCCTCATTCAAACACTGATTGATGATGATACCTCCACGTAGGAAATAATTCAATCTCCTTAGCCTGCGTATAGTTTCTGGATTTCAGTGACCCAATAAACCCCGTGTTCAATTAGCAAACTTCGAGGAATGGTCCTAAAATCTGAACATCTTACATATCTAAACTTATCCCATGAAATGGTTCCTTCTAGGATCGACTGCTTCTTCCAAACCTCGGGGTTAGCAACCAAATCATGTATGAATGAATGGCAGTAATTCCTACCAGTGTTGAGTTCCCTCCAGAAATATGTAACAGTAATAGACTGTTGCCAAGCCATTAGCGCCATGTTACAGCAGCACTCTCAGTCCTCATTACATTTCAAAGACATGGAGTTGAGGTCAAGAATTTTGAACTTAATAATTTTAAAAAACAGTTATGCAATATGGCTCCTTTGACTCCCGGTTGTCTCTTTACATGCAGCTCCTTGGTGAATTAGTCCATGAATCTCCGTCTCCTTATGATGATCTGGTCTAATTTTGGGGCTGATAATAACATTGATTTTGTTTTCAATCAGTGTATCCCAGCATTCAGGGCGTCTATTATTCATTTTCTCAAAATTAATTTCATCCAGTTTATCAATAATTCCGAAATGAATGATTTATGGAATAGTTCTGCTGCTGTAAGACAGATCAATACCAGCTTCTGCTCAACAGGAAGACATGGAAAACAGTCACTATAGCAACCACTGGAGAAACTACAAACACAAACTTCAGCCAAACACATTTCCAAGGGCAAGGAAAATGTTAATAAACTGTGCTAAGATTATAGATATTTCAATAATATTTCCACTAATATGTTTTCAAGAATATGGTTATCAGTTTCCAACACATCACAACAGCCCCTGAGGGCTTGGTGAATAGTTATCAACATGAAGTTACTACGGATCATTGCTATTCCTACCTTCCATTCAAAACATAATTAAAATATTTTGAATCCAACACATCTTTCTTAAATCATACACCAAAACCAAACCATGCAAGACTCCCCCCAAAGAGTTGGGAAATGTGAAGCATCTCTGCGATCTACCAGACTGTATCCAACTATAGCATTAGGGCAACTGGATCCACACACCACTCCCCCACCCCAACACAACCCAACCAATTCTTACCCGCTTCAGCAACAGTGTGCGCTAGTTATTGCAGACCCTTTGCTTCACCAATTGTTTTCCTATCAAAGAAATCAAAGCTGGTGGGCAGGGAGTCTGCTTGGGAATAATGGCCTCTCTGGACGTGTGTTAATCTAACACAGGTGAACGTGCAGGAAAGGCGTTGCATATCTGGCTTATTACTGAGCTTATGGTAAAGGTGAGGGACATTCACACATACAGACCAAGGCCTACTGCACTGAAGGTGGTGGAACTTCGATCACGTTTGTTACTGTAAGATCTGAGGTACGGTACATGTGTACATTTATTGACATCAATTAACAAACGGGGAAAAATGGCAAATCATCCCATCTCCCACACTTGGTAATTACTACACAGAAGAGTCTGTCACAGGGGGATTACGCTTGATAATATATATCCCAGTACATAATATATACTATTACTTAATGGATAACCTGTAAAAAATTAACAGTTGTGTATTCTAATGCATATACAGGCTTTTGAAAGATTTGCTACAAAACATTTAATGTTTCTTATATGATAACAAAACCCATCTCTAAACATGTGGTTATATGGGACATAATAACACCAGTTGGGTTTTGTTTTCTTAACCAAACAAAATGGGATGGTGATATGCATACACTTGCCACTTACATGACCAATCAGGGTCATTGATTTCAAGGTGTTTGTCACCACTTAAGCACAAGAGCAGTAGATCCGAGCTCTCACAGATGATAGACGCTGCACCATAAGTCAGCCGGAGACAACCTCCTATTGATGTAATGACAGATAATTTATGGATCAATTCTCTCGAATGCTTGTACTTTTATAGAAAGCTGAGACAACAAAATACATACAGTGAGATATTGACTTTAGATCCATTGGATAACAAAGCCAAACAAAGACAGACATACCCAATAGATAATGAGATGTCATGTAAAGAAATTATACTATTCAATAAAACATCAAAGGTAGACAAAGTTTCATTTTACTGCCTGTATCAGTGACAATATCAAGATATGGCTTCTATAAACATACTCCACTA